TTTTGTCTCGTCGCTCTGGCCGGGACACGGCATCACAGTATGGTAAGGGGCGTAACATTTCTGTTACACGCTTGAGGTATTCGGCCAATACCAACGCACTGGATAGCTGGCCAATCACAGCACACCTCGCTTTTCAGACAGATGTGCCTTGTAAAAATCGACACGTTTCAGAAAGGCGGGGCATAGAGGAGAAATAATAATGTACAGTATGTGGAAAATAATGTGTTTTTTGAACCTTAAACCGCATAAACATTTCATTACACCAAATACACAAAATAATGTTATTTTTAGCAACATCATATGACCCCTTTAATGTAGGTATGTGGGATTATCCCAACCTTTTCATGTCTAATCAATTTGTTTAATTGAAATCAAAGTGGTTTAGATGAAAGAATTGAATATCATTGCTGTCTAGGAAAAACAATCAAGATTTTAAAGAACTCTCTTTTGTGGTTTCTCTAAACAGCTGATTTTAAACCAGATTTTCCTTTCACAAGCATGACCATATAAAGGAAAACTACGACTTATATCATGTCAACCACTGAAGGCTGCACTGCTGTTATACAGTAGGTCCCTAATGACAGAGCACCAGGAGGGGGCAGTAGAGCAGTATAATTGGTCTATTACAGCATCCGAATACATGAACTCCTTCTCTCCAACACCTTGTTTTATCAGCCTGTGGTTCTTGCTGGTAATTTGATCATGCAGCAGTACGGATCATCGATCATTCATTAATGAGCCGGCATAAAAGCAGACACCAAATCGAAGCACAGTGCTAAACCTGTCTGCAGCAGACACCACTTTCACGGTGTATCTAGGTTGTAACATTTAGATTGTGAATTCACCTTGCTGAAAATGAAATGCAGGAACTATAAACAGCACACACACTTTAACAAATGTATGCTTATGCAATTATACATACTATTTTATATCATAATCACTAGCACTGAATAATGCATAAAGCTGTGGTTGGAAATGAGAATAACAAAGTGTTTTTAATTAAGTGCAACATATTGTTCATCTCGGGATAACACTCCCACTTATCATGCAAACTTATCAGGCTTCACATTTTATGTGAGCTTAATTACGTTACTTAACTGAAGTTTTTCCATTAGAGGTTCAACCAGCGCATTGAAGAGTTTGGTGTGACGTGCGTAAACAATATAACTAATCTATCAGAGGGACTGCATTGAATAGCCACACTTGTATTGTTTAGCTTGTGCTGGGATCAGATCTGTTTGAGTACTCTCTTATAAGGCGTTTACATTAGCTAACTTCACAATTCAGTATAAAATCATGAATATTCTGAACGTAATGTTTATATAAACTCTACATGAAGAGAAAAGTAGCATTCCATCACTTGCTCACCAATGGATCCTCTGCATTGAATGGGTGCCGTCAGAATGAGAGTCTAAACAGCTGAGAAAAACATCACAATAATCCACAAGTAATTCACACCACTCCAGTCCATCAGTTTACATCTTGTGAAGTGAAAAGCTGTGTGTTTGTAAGAAACAAATCCATCATTAAGACATTCAATATGAGTCCATAATCCATAGCAACGCTTCCTCCAGTGAAAAAGAATAATTGTGATGTTTTTATCAGCTGTTTGGACTGTCATTCTGACGGTATCCATTCACTGCAGAGGACCCATTGCTGATCAAGTGATTTAATACTACATTTCTCCAAATCTTTTCCAATGAAGATACAAACTCATCTACATCTTGGATGGCTTCAGGGTGAGGACATTATCAGCAAATTTCATTTTTAGGTAATCTGTTCCTTAAACTAAAACTATTAAAAATGGTTTTAGTTAATTGAAATAAAACTAAATAAAATAAAATATAGGCTAATTACTAGTAGGGCTGGACCAGAATATTCGATTATTAAAATATTCGTTCGGTGGGTTGGCATTCGATTTTCAATTTTGAGAGTCGAATATTCTTTTTTTTTTTCTCGAACACCTGTCATCCTCCGCGAAACGGTTCTCATTCGCGCTTGAATATGAATCGCCCATGAGTGAATGTCATTAACGTCATGATTCAGTTCATCTGGAAGAGAAGACAAAAATGCTGAAGACCTCAGCTGTGTGGGAGCACTTTAAATTGAGCGAGGACAAGACAAAGGCAGTGTGTCAAATATGCGATTTGAAACTGGCCTCGCATCATATGACCCCTTTAATATCAAACATATATAATGAGTTTGGAAATTTTAGAAAAATGTTTAATAAATGCACTGTAACTAAACCCATTAGATTTTAGCCGACTAAATTTACTGCAGATTTAGTCGATTAAAACTAGACTAAAACTAAAAACAATTCAAATGACTAAAATATGACTAAATCTAAACGGCATTTTAGTCAAAAGACTATGACTAAAACTAAATCAAAATCTGCTGTCAAAATTAACACTGGCCCTTTACAAAAAAAGGTAAAACATCAATGTCGGATGATTTTGAAGTTGGAGGAGAAAATGAGATTTGGAGGAGTTTTTCGCCCTAGCCTACCTTTTTGAACCGGAGTACCCAGACGAAGAATTAACCATGCATGACCTTTCCAACATGATTTCGTAATGCGTGAAGCCATAGACGTGCATCACAGAGCTAGTGCAAGATGAGCATTTGTTGTTAAAAGTAAATTATTCCTCGGCTGGGATCATGCAGAGCCCTTTGAAGCTGCATTGAAACTGCAATTTGGACCTTCAACCAGTTGATCCCCATTCAAGTCCACTATTTGGGAAAAAACCTGGAATGTTTATCTCAAAAACCTTAATTTCTTTTCGACTGAAGAAAGAAAAACATGAACGTCTTGGATGACTTGGGGGAGAGTAAATTATCAGGAAATTTTTATTCTAGAAGTGAACCAATCCATTCAACTTAAAAAAAATTGAATTAAAAACAGAAATGCTTCTTTGTAAATTTACATTAAATAAAATAAGTTTAAGTTTATGTACTGAAATGACTAGATTACTAGATTTAAAAAACAACAACTATTAATTCATTTAATAATATTGAGACAAATACTCAAGTTAAATCTGTAAAGTTGCAAATACTAAAGTCTCAAATCCAAAGAGATATTCTTTATAAAAGTTAAGAGTCAGAATTATTCATTGTTTGATGATTCCATCTTTTTATTTTAAAACTGACACAAGGGGAAACTACAACAGACAATGCCAATAATCTCAAATAAATCATCTGATACTTAATAAATCGGCCTGTCACTATGATTATATATTCTCAGACGTGTATGCTTACACACATATAGCTAACTGTGCTGTTATATCTTGTCTATGCAACCTGCTGACCCTGCTGCAATAACAATATCCTAGTATCCTACTGTGGTTTTTATGAAAGTAATGATATCAGCTTATAAAGAAAGAAAAGAACGCATTTAATGCGTACCGACAGTCATTTCATCCATGTTGATTAAAGGAACCACAGAGAGACCCTTACGCTTTATGTGAATGCATCCCAATTTCAGCAAGACACGATTACAGCAGGCAAAGACCATTCAATTTCATGAACCATCAAGCAGATATCCACTTTTAAAAACGTACGGCACTCAAGAGAACAAGAGATATAGATAGAAAAATAAGAGGTTTGGGTATGTCACTGATACTCCAAATAAGAAAAATCAGTAAATACAAGAACATAAACCAAACGCAACATCCCAAAGCTCAAGATGAGCGAGATGTTCTTTATAATAACGGTGTATTAGGAGTCCGTTGAGTTATGAGTCCTGATACTGCGTCATTATTACCCAAGTCCCATCCATTACTGTAAAACAAAAAAAGGGACAATGTTCTTCTTCAAACATTACCAGCCCCTGCACAGCAGTAAGGGAGCATGATTTATTACAGGAAAGGGAAACGTTTCACTCCACTGAACAGACACACAAGTATGTGTGTGTGTGTGTGTGTGCGTGAATGTGTCCAATGCGGCGATGCCTCCTCTGTCTCACCTCTGCTTTGAGTAGAGCGAGGTCTACTCTTAATCTAAACGAGTGCCGTTATTATGTGGAGCTCTCAAGGACTGACCCGAAGCACTTAGCCAAAGTGTTGCGGCCCAGGGCACCTACCAGTCATCTATCTGTCTGCATTTGTCTTTCTCCAGCGCTATTCGCCACTGCAGGCAATGAGATTACCTCTTAAATGGCCTTTCCTGTTATCGGCCCTGCCGAGATGTCTTTGAGAAGTGAAGGCACACGCAAGAATGAACACAACACACAATGGTCGACTTTTGCAACTGACCTCAGCGCAGTTCATTTCACCTGCCAACCAGCAGCAAGCATAATAAAACGTTAAACGAGAAAAACAAGATGATGCAGTTCACTTCCCCTAAACATCAAGTTAGTCAGGTTTATAACATCCTTCGCCAGCAGACAGGACGAGTAAATCTGCGCCTGTTGTCGGCGAAACAGCTTGATCAGCAAAAAGATGGCACGATCAGCAGCCGCATGGCCAGTAACGAGCTCTCTGCTGGACGCCAACCCTAAATAGTCTGCAAAACAGCTAGTACTAGCAACTCGAATAATTCAAGAGAATGTTGTAGTATTTCAATGCAGATAAACCAATCAAAAAAATAAATAAAACTTGTCACAACAACATTAAAAAGTGCAAAAACAGCTGCAATTGTGTTTTATGATCATGCATACTCAATCTACAGAGTCAGCAGTGATGTGTCAGACCGTTATCAAGAAATGCATATTGTGTGTACAAATTATGAGATTCTCAAGTTCTATTCTATGCACATCGGCCACTATTATGTAATGTGATACTGCAGCACTAGGATGCTACGCACTCGCACTCTCCTGTGCGCTGAGAAAGTTCCACTCGCTGACAAAGATCTTCCTCTCTCTCCTCTCTGCTGTATGCCACCTCTCCCTGATTTTTGCGTTATAATGACTGAAAGACTACATTTACATTCCTGTCTAAGCATTTAAAATGTTAAACTGCACTGTATAAAAGGCATGCTTTATCATAAAAGGGGGATACTGTACTTACCTCTGTACCGTGTGTATCCTCACTGGAGATGTACTGCACCAAGAGGAGGGTGGTGATGCAGAGGGGGGTTGAGGAAAGAAACTTCACAGAGTGCGCAGGGCACTTGGAGAGCTTGGGAAAAAAATAAAAGTGACAACAATCAGGACTTTTGGTTTATCCTCTTCTGGTTGTGTTGGAAATATCAGACATGTGCAAACACACACACACACCCCTGATGTCTACCTACGCACCCCCACGCTCACACATACACACACACACACACACACACACAATAGCTCGGATCGGGACAGATGCAGAGATGCTCTCATGCACACACACATTTCTAGTCTCACACCCTGCAATAGTTGCTCAGCACCACAGCCCCTGGTGTTTCACTGCTGTGTTTCCCGGCGCTGAGCTGTCATTGGTTCAATCACGGCTCAATAAAAACTCCTCCCATTTCCAATTGGGTGAGGAGGGATTTGTTTTCATGGCACACTCTGAAACCCATCCCACCCCTACCGCTTTAAAAACCTACACTAAATGTAAGGAGAATGCTGAGCTATGAAAATCAGGCAGGTTGGAGTGAGAGGAGGAAAGGAGGATAACGCGAGAGGGCGGGGCAACAGAGAGGCGCAGTAACCAATCAATGAGCTGCAGAGAGAAGCGCGAAAGATGTGGTGGACTTCAGGGGACGCGTTCTCCCTCCTGCGCTGATGAATCTTCAGCGTAATAACAAAAGACATTACATATTTAATGCGAGTTGTGGATAGGAGATTGCTGTACTGAATGTAAATGAATAAAGAGAGCGTGTACCCCGAAATAATGACAATAAATCTTTGTCGACTGTGCTGTCCTCATGGGCTGAAGCAACAAGGCGGCCAGTGTGGACTGATTCAAAAAGCAAATGAATCTTCTGAGCCGATTCTTTATAGTGAATTGAAAACGCGGCCAATAATGTCTGCATCCCGAAACAATGAGCCGGTTCTTTTAATTAAAGGATAGTTCAATAAGACGAGTTACCGGTTTGAAATGAATAAGCCTGAAAAATACTTTACTGAACTGATCTGACTTGGTTGATGAAGGGCAAGATGGCCGTGTCGAAATGAAAAATGGTTTGTGTTAGTATTACTGAATGGCTGTTCATCACAAAATCGTTAAATTCAAATTCAATAATAAAAATTTAATTTTTTAATAAATTAAATATTACTTGTGAGTGTAACAAAAACAAAATTCTGTAGGAATCCATCAAACAGAATCGCAGGTTAACGCATGACAAAAATGTATTAGTTTGTAAACAGAACCGAAATATCATCTTGTAAAATCCAAATTATAGGTCTTGCGTTATTTACCGAGATTATTTTTATGTTCTGACATCAAAATTAAACAAAAACAGTACTTACAGCTCCAAAAAGCACCGTCTTCAGAGTCCGACAGACCAGCCGTCAGAATAACCGTTGACATTTAAAAGACTGAGATTCCCGCTTGTGCGTGTCCTAAAGTGGTGAACCCTGGTAAAAACAAACGTTTTGACTACCTTCACCACACAACAAAGAAAATTCACTCTTTTTCGCATGTTCGACAAGCTGAGCCCAATGTTCACTAGCGTGTTCATTTTAGAGAATCGATTCGTTTTTAAGGAACAGATTCATTACTCAAACGCAAGTGTTCGTATGAATCGCTGTGCGCGGAATAGGTCCGTTCGAAACAACTCTTCTCGAAGCTTCGAAACCTTTATGAATCTTTTGCTTCGAATCAGTGCTTCGGACTTAATAGAATCTTCGTTACTGTTACGTTGCAGAAACGTTCTGAAAAGGTTTAACAGTATAGTAGAGTAGTTGATTTCAAGTGAACGCTTGAAGCAGTCAGTTTATTAGGCTATTCATAAAAGTTGAGTAAAATTTTCTATAATGTTATTTAAAAATAAAAAAAGTGCTAAAAAGTAATAAAATACTACTAAAATAAAAATCTAATTTTAATTTTGTGTTCTCATTGTATTTACACAACTTTAACCAGGAGATTCAATTCAATTCAAGCTTATTTGTATAGCGCTTTTCACGATACAAATCGTTGCAAAGCAACTTTACAGCAAATTAAGTTTCTACAATATTTAGTGGTAGCTTATCAGTGGTGACTGTCAGTTAATGTACATATGGCAGAAATGTACGGAAAAATCAAAGACGTAATCAAACAGACGATGAACACTATTAACAGCAATTATTATATGATGCAATCAAACTTATAGCAAAATTTGGTAGATGGGAGAAGTCTTCAGCATATAGCCTTTCTTCTCCCACCACAACTTTGATGTGCTCTTTAATAACATTTATTGTAAACTGTATTTTTTATTTAACCAGCAATCCAAGAAAGCCTATTTGGTATAATTTAACACTGACAGTAACACGTCAGCTATCAACTTCAGCAAGCAATAACATAAAATATAAATATACATGTCACAATGACTTATGGAGCTTCACTGATCTGTTAAATCTGTAAAAGATGTATTTATAAGGTTATAATCCATAACCATTCACCAAATTACACTCTTGCATTGTTTTGGCATCAGATTATTGTATATTGAATGTTGTAGCCTATGTAATTTTCAATCAGAGCCTCAAAGATGGCAGCATCTACTTCTGGTGGAGCCTGCGCAAACCCGACCTGATGACACTGAAATGAATGACATATTTTAAAGCTCCTTGTCTGCAGTAAATGTAATAACTCTTTGGCCCTGCTCTGACTCCAGCCTGCTGCGCTCCAGCAGCATGTAACTTAATGTGCTCTATGTAAATTATTAAAGACTGATGGGACGTGCTGTAGAACTCACTCTCCAGCAGAGCAATCTGTCCACACACTCCAGAACCTCATAATAAAAGCAGCTCACAGTCACCATATCTTACACTGTCAGGCCGACTCTCACGGTCACTGTCTAATGAACTGTACTGTGTTTCCTCCCTGGATACAAACTCATGTAGTTCTAAGGTGCTGGTTAGGCATGCTGTATGATATTTAAATAGATCAGCTGAATGATTTCAGTCCCCCACCCCCTTTAGTCTATCTCCATTTGCAGCCTGGTGCCTCAATACTAATTAAATGGGTTTGATGGAGTCCAATCCATCAACATCTAAAATCAATGAAATAAAGTCAGGCCTCTGGTCAGAGGGGTCGAGCCGCTATGCCTGGATTCTTTCTACATGATTGCGAATTCCTTCAGTTTGGAAAAACAAACTGCAAACCTGAAGTTACACAGTATGTGAAACTTTCTACCATTTCAGGGATTTAATTTCATGTCTTTTGAATGTGTTAGTGCAATGCTGATATCAAACCGAACTAATGTATAATAGATCTAAAGTTCATTCCATTTACTGCATTCTTTTTATTCCTTTACATATTTGTGTTTTTGTCAGGTATACAAAGAGTAAACACATGGTGCTTTAGTAAACTGGAAATATAATAACCTACATAGAGTCCTGTAGAGTGTTAGACGGGTTTTATGAATGTCAGACTGGTGTAGACTGGCTGTATGATTAGATTTATTATTATTGAGGCAGCAGAGTCTTCCGGGCTGTGGCAGATGTCCAAGTCATCCTGTTTCTGTGCCTGCAGAGCTCTCCTTTGGCAAAGTGGGATGCAGCAAAGTGGGATGAAAACTCAGGCTGCATGACAGAGCAAGAATTCCTTTGATGCGTAAAAAAAATTTACATGGTTTCCGGTTCTTAATTTAAACATAAAAATATTGTGGAGTGTCAGATGAAAGATGCATGCTATTAGAGTTTTGTGTTAATTATGATGGTTTGACAAGTCTAACATCCTGTTATTCTATTCTTAACTGTAGCTAAGATGAAGTACTAAAATGACTAAAACTAGAAATAATAAATAAATTAGAGCAGGATCAACATCGAATAACAATTGACAAAAGCACATTAACAAAATTTGTAAAATTGAAACTAAAAAAAAAAAAAACTGAAAATATAAAAATAGTCAGGTGACTGCCTAGCAACCACCCAGAACACACCCTGTTGTTATTGCTAATTAAATTAAAACTAATACAATTATTTTTTGCTGAAATAAAATAAAACAGAATTATTAGATAAAAAAACACTTACAAATTTTAAAATGTTTAAAAACTAACTGAAATAAAATGGCAACTAACAAAATAAGTTGAAGTTGAAGTACTAAAATTACTAAAACTAAAACTTAAAATGAAAAAAAACAGCTAAATAGAATTATTAAAAAAAAATACAAAGACTAATAAAAATGACAAAAACAAAATTAAAATAAAAACAGAACATTTAAATATAAGCTAATTCAAAATATTAATAAATACTGTTACAGCATATTAATAATATAAAAATAACCATTCAGAACACTTAGCAACCACCTAGCACATCTTGACTGCCTAGCAACAAGCCAAACATCTTGGCAACTGCCTAGCAACCACCCAGAACACTTTATGCAACTTTTATTTTCCAGTTCTCAAGTTGGGTAAGACATTCTCTCATTATGAAACACCACTGACTGGCTGTTTATGCAAAGCATATTCTAGAAATATATGGCAGTCTGTTGTCGGCAAGCCTCAATGAAATTTTATCGAGTTCTGTGCTCTCAAATTCAGGTGAGTGCTGTCTGTGCTTCTCTATATCATCAAATCTTATTGCAGTAGACAGAACATCCATTGAACATCATTTGTTTGTCCAGCTGCGATGCCACAATAGTGCCGCCGCCGGAATGACAAGCACCATAAACCTGATACAATACAGCCGGCTCCATCATTCATCTCTGTGAGGAATGCTGCATATGTTATCAGATTACAGTACACCACAGATGGATTGCTTTGGAAACTAGATGTGTATTCTAGGATATGATGACTTTATTGATAAATAATTAAAAAGTAATAAATTTCAGTTTCATTAATTGTATTGAAGAGTGGTGTAAGATGTTGTTTTGAACATCATGTCATTTTCACTCTGCAGCACAGATTATCAACCCAAACCCAGATTTGGAGAAATTTAGCATTGCCTCACTTGCTCACCAATGGATCCTCTGCAGTGAATGGGGGCCGTCAGAATGAGAGTCCAAACATCTCTCAAAAGTTGTCTCGTTTGAATCAGGAGAGAAATATGTACATATCAAGCAGCGTTTACGAGCAGTCCAAACATCTCTCAAAAGTTGTCTCGTTTGAATCAGGAGAGAAATATGTACATATCAAGCAGCGTTTACGAGCCAAAACAGTTCTAAACAAATATGTTGGTGGAATTTGATGTGAGAGGACTACAAGGGATGGACTTTTTCACTGGAGGAAGTGTTATTATGGATTATGGACTTGTATTTTAGCCAGAATTGATTACAAACACACAGCTTTTGTCTTCTCCAGATGTTAACTGATGGACTGGAGTGCTGTGGATTACTTGTGGATTATTGTGATGTTTTTATCAGCTGTTTGGACTCTCATTCTGACGGCACCCATTCAATGCAGAGCATCCATTGGTGAGCAAGAGATGTAATGCTAAATTACTCATAAGCTGTTCTAATGAAGAAAAAAATCATTTACATCTTGGATGGCCTGAGAGTGAGTACATTTTCAGCAAATTTTCATTTTTTGGGGTATATGTATATGTAAATCAAGATGCTACTGTATAAACAGACATTTTTCTTCAGATTTTTAAGCATTATGATCTTGTTTTTTATTTGATTACTTTAAACCCAGCAGACTCATATGGCACAGACAGCTGTGAAAATCCACAGATGAAGTCAGCTTCAGATTCAATCAAACTTCAGCGTACCTTAGGCTCAAAAGAAAGTTCTAAATTCAGTCCGTACTGAAAAAGTCAAGTGGTCGAGAGGGTTTAGAGGTAAAGCAAGCACGGCGAGGGATTCTGGTGTTTTGAATATAGTACACTCTTTATGTTCTTCAAACTGTTATTTAGGGACTGGAGCATGTTAAAGGTTGTTTAACAAAATTAAATAAAAATGCAGCTTTGGGTAGGAAAATATAAATAAACTACTAGTTTGGAAAAAAAAAATGTTTTCAGCAAGGATGCATTAAACTGTTCAGAAGTGACAATATAGACTTCTATAATGTTACAAAAGATTCTATTTCAAATAAATGTTGTTATTTTGAAAGAATACAAAAATACGAAGTAGCACAACTGTTTTCAACACTGATAATAATCAGAAGTGTTTCTTGAGCAGCAAATCAGCATATTAGAATGATTTCTGAAGATCATGTGACACTTAAGACTGGAGTAATGATGCTGAAAATTCAGCTTTGATCACAGGAATAAATTACATTTTAACATACATTCAAATCGAAAACATCAATTTTAAATTGTAATGATATTTAACAATATTACAGCCTTGATGAGCATAAGAGATTTCTGGTAAGGTTGTGTACTAGCATGATACATGCCCAAAACCGATGTTTAAAAAACATTGTACTTCTGTTAATAAACCTTTACTTTGAACTCATATTTCATGTAGAAATGGTCTTGTTTACAATCATGATTCAGTTTTAAACTGTAGCTGGCATTACATGGATCAGTAGAGGGAGCTGCTGTCATGTCCGATGACTGTCCCAAAACCTGATGAGCTGCCTGCCTACAGCCAGGCCACATTTGAAGACATCATAAGCCTGTCCCAATATGATACAAAGACTGTTCCAAATTCACTTGGCCATATTTGAAGGCAGCATTGCATCTTCACGGAGAAAGCAATCCCAGAATGCAGTTCTGTGAAGAAAAAAAATGAGTGGACAAATAAATGGGAAATGCTGATTATTTCTACCACTTTCCCAACATTTGTTATTTGAATAACTAGAGTATTGTAATTAATATTATAATTAATATAATTAGAGTATTTTGTCTTTGGTCAAGCAACATGCTAATGCCAAACTCTGTTGTGTCGCCTATATAGACAGTAGACTGGAACAAGGGTTTGGAACAGAGCCAGAGTGTTTTATTAGACAGATCTGACCTGGCCCTGGGTTTGTTTCTTTGCTCTAAACAAGCTGAGTGTATATCGGGTTAAAAAACAGTAAAGGTGCTGCCATCTACTGTTTAGAAATATATATACACTTTAAACACTGCATACATTCTACTTATCAGCACCTTTGTCTTTTATAAGTGAAATTATTTAATAATTAAAGTAAGCTATTTTTCTGTGAATGGGCAAGACTTCCGATTTATGAGCCGCATTAAACGGTCAAACTATTTGCAAACAGGTAAAAATAACTGGAAGTTATAACATGCAAATTACAAATGGCCTCGCCCAATCTTATGTTAAAAATAAGGTGTATTACACAAGCAAGGTAGGCCTATACTAACTAAAGTACTTTCAATTGAATGAAAATTAACATATGTTCTATGCTTTACGTTAAAAACATTTTGGAAATGTCCAGCATTATACATTTTCAACCAAAGAATTCTCATTTTAAGCAATTCATGACCTTAAATCCAGTGCTGCTGTTATTTCAGCGTGATATCGTTATTGTTATGCTCATTCAATTTCCAACGTTATGAATAAAATGTCTACATTCAATGCATGCCATTTAACTGGATTTAAAAAAAATGAGTACAGTAGTTTTCTAGTGAATCGAGGTCATTCTACAGTATGAGATTACAATCCAGTGGGATTGTAAAAATTATCATATTGCTCAGGGTCAATTACATAAAAAGCCTCAATTTTTTAGGCCAAAACTGCTCATTAACTACTGTATACATTATTATTAAGCATAACCCTCACCAAAATTGTTTCATTTCTCATAGTCCACTAACTTTACTTACATGTTGGCAGAGGGTTTCATGCTGCTGGCCAAACTAAATAAGCACTAGGCTTTAAGTTTCTCTGACAGGAACCCTGAGAAGCTGAAAATGAACATCACGCATAGCATACAGTCCTTTCAAAGTCTTTGCATTCTCACAGACACATATATCTTAATGCGTGTGTGTGTGTGTGTGTGTGAGAACTTTAGTAACCAGACCCGTCTGCTCTCAGTCGAGTTTCCACTGGTTGGGAAGGTGTCTGTGTCATAGTAAGAAATAATTTCCATACTAATGAATATCGCCCTATTCAGTGTTCCGAGGCTCCACTGCAGACAGTGTTCAGGGTCACTCGGCCTGCTGAATCATGAACGTTTCTGAAAATGTTACATTCGGTGCACTGACATTAAGACAAATGACAAAAGACATCATGTGAGTGAAAGGCTAATATTTAATTGAATTGAACAAACACTCCTGTTGGTCCGGATGGGACTTGATCCGAGTTACATCACTGGCCTCAGTCAGGGACGAGTATGTGAGGCGATACACAGACAAGAATCAATACATGCAGGCAGCTGCTGATGTAAATGTCCATATAATAAATATATGTGCTTTTTCATAATTGTGAGGCCAAGCATTAAATTATGAAAAAGGAAAAATATGTATATTTTAATATATATTTTTATTTCATATGTACATGATTTTTTTTTGTCATCAGCAAAAGACGTCTTCACAGTCCTACAAAAGTGAAAGAAAGAATAAAATTAGTAATAACAAAATTACATACGGCATATCAGTTGAATTGCATGCACCAAGTTGCTTTGAATCAGGGATATCATCGTTAACTAAAACTTAACTAAAACAAATAAAATATAAAAAACTAAAAAAGTCTTATTTTAGCTAAGTTGCCAAGGTAACATTTCTCATTTCTATTTAAAATTGAAGTACTAAAATAACTACAACTAAATAAACAAAAATAAAAATGAATAGACATATTTTTAAAAATTCTAAAAAATAAAAATTTAAACTAAACTGAAACTAAACCAATAAAATAAAATTAAACATATTAAAAACTATAATAGTATATCAATGATACTAAATTTTCATTGAACTATATAAATTGTTATTGAACTATATTCCTTGGCAGAATACGTGTTTATTTGTCTTATTATTAATAATACAATTACGTATTTACATACTTAACCATTATAAAATGGGAGGAAAAAATTTAATAATTATAAATAATAAAAATAAAAAGACACCAGTGTTCCACAAATGTGTAAATAAAAAAATAATTAGAATAAACTATTCTTCCGCCAACAAACAGTATATCAACTTGCTGCATTAATATATGATTCAACTGATACATTGTTGAAGCATATACTTTTTATAATAGTTTTGAAAGTGGCTTAATAGAACTGATGTTAGAACATTCTGGAATAAGTTCTCACCTTTTGAGAGGGATCCCACATTTTTCTATTCCTTATTTGGGACTAGAGCACATGCAAAGAGGAAGAACAAGGAACAGGTGTCAGTCGGCCTGAAATAGTTCTAACACTCCAATCAACATAAACTCTGTTTTGCTGTGTGTTTTCTGTGGAGAGATTTAGCAGTAGATGTCTGAGGACTCATCAGGGTCTAACGGTGCACAGTCAGGCGGATGTAATTTAGTCTCTCCGATGGTACACGTATAGTCATAATGAGTTTAACTTATGGGGAATTGCCACTCGGACACTTCCAGCAGCAGGGGCCGCAATCTCCAAGTTTAGAGTTCCCCATGTAAGGTCAGGGGGGGAGGGGGGGTTTAGGGTCTCTTTGGGAGAGACCCAAATAGATAGAGAACCAAATCTCTTTTTGGCAATCCAAAGCTCCTTGTCCAAAGCAAAAACTCAAAACTGTTCTTTTGTGGTACATTATTTGTGACAATAAGGACAATAAGGAGTTGAACATTAACATGCTGAGAGATGTAAAAAGTGCAGAGAAAATATACTCAAGCTTAAGTATTATGCTAATTAATTACTTCTTTAAATTTCATTTTATATATATATATATATATATTTTTTTTTTGCCATATCAACATCTATATATATACAGTGGGTACGGAAAGTATTCAGACCCCCTTAAATTTTTCACTCTTTGTTATATTGCAGCC